CTGTGTGTATTCGTGCGCAGAGTGCGGGGCGGGGGGGGGGGGGGCGCCATGGTGGGTGAGTGGTCAAGGCTGCCTAGGTAGCATTGCGCCCTAGGCGGCTGCCTGGTTTGCCTAGTGGCAGCACCAGCCCTGCCTACGTGCCCACAATTCAAGACTGCCTCCCAGTGCCAGCTGCCCAGGTCCTCATTCCTCATGCACAGCCCGAACTTTTCGGGTTTCACTTCTTATTCTTTACACCAGAGATGCAATGTGAGGCCGAATGTTTGCGGGCACCTGACCGTCACACCTACCTGTATAGAGGACTGGAGGTGCTCCCGGTGAAGGTTCTGGTGATCCTCCATCATACAAAGACATTGGAGACAATTTGGGTTCTTCCAGCCTTGTGGTCACAGTTTGGTGAAGGTCCTTTCCTGTTCCACCATGACTGTCCCCTGTGTACAAAGCCAGCTCCATACAGACATGGTGTGACTGTGATGGAGGAACCCGAGTGTCCTGCACACAGCCCCGACCTCAACCCAAATGAACACCTTTGGGATGACTTGGAACGCTGATTGTGAGCCGGATCTTCTCATCCAACATCAGCACCGGACCTCACAAACGGGGCGGGGCAAATTCCTGCAGACACCCTCCAACATCTCGTGGAAGCCTTCACAGAGGAATGGAGGCTGTTAAAGCCTCAACGGGGGGCAACACCATATTACTGGCCGTGGTTTGGGTATGGGATGCGATAGGCAGGTGTCCCCTCACCTTCGGTCATACGGTGTATATAGTATACAGTATATATTTGCTATGTTCCGCATTGAACTCGTTTTGTGTTCCTCTGCAGCTGAGGTGGAAGCCATTCGTGATAGAGGAGAAGAAGCCGGACTTCGTGGATGTAAGTCGTTCCGTTCCTGAAATGTCACATTCAGCTCACATGTCAGTTGTATTGATCGGTAATAATATGTAATGATCGTCCGTGCCGTGGCAGGGGCTGTACACACTGTGCGGAGCCGGCGATGTCAAGTCACGCAATGGAATCGCCATCCACATCTACACATGTAACACCTCCATGATCAACAGGTATGAGGGTGACAACGTCTTTCTGTGCTCCGGAGCTCACACTCTGCTCTCTGATGTCACTTCCTGTCTCTTCACACTGTTAGCCCTCGTTCACACCTGAACGTTTTGTAGCGCGTTCTACGCTCGACGAACGCTCTACAAAACGCTCAAAAATATAAATCCCATTGTATTCCATGGGTCTCGTTCCCACCTCGGCGTATTTCCGCCCGTCCCTAACGCGCTACAAAACGGCCCACGCCTGAAAAGGTCCAGGTACTACTTTGGGCCGTTTTGTTGCGCGTTTCCATTGGGATACAGCCAAGTAGCCTTCGGAAAACGCGCGACGGTCGCGCATATGCAATACGCCTAGGTGTGAACGAGACCTTACTGTCTCTGATCTATTGCTGGGCCCTGAGATCTGTCCCTGCACCTGCTCCCCCGCTTCTTCTGCTCCTGACTTCTAATCTCTTCCTGTGCCTGCCCTCTACTCTCCCCTGTGCCTGCCCTCTACTCTCCCCTGTGCCTGCCCTCCTCTCTCCCCTGTGTCATACAATCAGGGGATATGGTGATAGATCTTCTGATACATTGTTTCTCCTCCTCACATTTCTAGGTGTTTATATAACTCTGACGGCGACTTTCTCATCGGTGAGTTCTCTTCTCTTCACACACAACCCAATAAATACATAAAAGAGGGAACAACGTTTCTTGTACTTCATAAATCGTCTTTATTATAGAAATACACTGAAAGGAAAACAAAACAACAAATCAATCAATAATGCATTGAGATGTCAGAGAGCCGCTATGTGTTACAATGATTGATTCACCTGCAGTGCAGGTTTGGTGAATGTCACATTCACTGCTCCCGAGTGTGTATTCTTTTTTTAGTGGTCGGCATCACGTCTCCACTTCTCTAGAGTCCAGTGGCGGCGTGCGTTACACCGCGGCATCCCACGCTTTGCATTGCACTTGGTGATGTGCGGCTTGGATGCAGCTGCTCGGCCATGGAAACCCATTCCATGAAGCTCTCTACGCACTGTTGTTGCGCCAATCTGAAGGCCGCATGGAGTTTGGAGGTCTGTAGCTATTGGCTCTGCAGACAGTTGGCGACTTCTGCACACTGTGCGCTTCAGCATGCGCTGACCCCGCTCTGTCATGTGACGTGGCCGACCACTTCGTGGCTGAGTTGCTGTTGTTCCCAGTTGCTTCCACTTTGTTATAATCCCAGTAACAGGCGACCGCAGAATATTTAGTAGCCGGGAAATGTCACGGAACACCTGAGTCACATGATTTGGAGGGGGAGGGGCAATACTTTTGGCAATTTAGTGTATGTTTTAATCTCTATTAAGGTGACCCACACACCTTGCGATAATCGCGGGAAATCCCGCGATCGTATGATTATCGCAAGGTGTGTGGAAGGCGTGCGACCTCTGCTACTGTAAAGGCCGTGACACACACGTGCAGTGTGTGAGCTGAGTGCAGTCAGATGATTGACAGCACCTTCAGCCAATCGGCTCGTCTGTAACAACCGGCCAGATGTCGCATCCCGTCGCGCCGGTTTATACGCGCGAGCCGATTGGCTGAAGTTGAAATTGTTCATCTCGGCACGCTCAGCTCTGCGAGCTCTCGCAAGCTGAGGTGCCGAGAAGAAAGTGACATGACGCACTGCTCGCAAAGGCAGCGCGCCACCGCTCCGCGCTGCTTCTCGTGCAGTGTGTCACGGCCTTAAGGCCGCAAGACTTTTATCTTAGGAACATGTTCGAAAACCAGCCGAAAATCGTACGATTTTCGGCCGGTTTGTGGCATGTTCGCAAGATAAAAGCCGCACGGGCCGGTGTGCGCACGTGCACACTGCCCGTTCAGCATTGCGGTCATCGGAAGCCCGTCCGTCAGGGGGGCGTGGCTTGCGATCATGGCAAGTACGATCTGCCTGTCCAAGATGAGCAGCTCGTACGTTTTTTTAAATGACCTTACAACCA